CAAGCAACATAGATTAAGAGACAATCTATGACAGTCTGGTAATTGGCACTTAATATAGTGGATAATTACATTACAAATACATTACAAATATAGTGTGATTACACTCTTTTAGACAACAAAAACAAGTAACTCCTTGAACCAGAAGATGCCTTTGCATGGAGGTTTGTACAGCAACCACCGGACAATGCAGTTGCTGCCTGACTGCAGCCACTCACAGACACTTCCAGTGTACATGTGCAGTAACAACATCATGGTGTCATCCTTCCCATCCCTGGCCTTATAATCAAAATGTGCCTCCTAAAACTCCATTAACATTGATTACACTGTATTTGTGTACTATCTTCACTCCGTCGTGTGGTTAACATTTGGATTATACATAAAGGTATATGAGACCAATCACAGAGTAATTGCGTTATAAACTTAAAATGGGTGTTTTATAAAATGCTTCCAGTTTATCAAAAGCTGATAGGAAGCAGTATAACGACTTCTGGGATATGATCAGCCAGATAAAATCTGAAGACTCAAGGGCATTTTGAGAGGAGTTCTTAATGTCACCTTCGTGACCCTCAGCATTCACAGTAGGGGTCAAGTTTTCATATATTTCCATTTTGACGTGAACAACAAAACACAGAAAAAAATCATATATGGCATGTAGAGCATATTAGTAACCTCACCTATGGAACAGTAAGCACAGATATGCAAGGGTTACCAAAAGATGCTGTGCTTCACACATTTTCCTCATAGGCACAGGAGACAGGAATACAGCAAAAAGAGAAACTCATCTGAGGTGGCCTAATCCACCCAAACACAGTAACTCACACACATGGCAGGCACGGCTCAGCATGCCCAGAAACTGGCTGTCCCACTGGGAGCCGAGCACTCTTGAAAGGCTGCTCTTGACCAGGGTGCTCAGCACTTGTAGTGTAAGGTAAGAGCATACCTTACACTACATCTCCTCTAAAGAAAACTGAACTTCTTGGGCTGATTCACCCCCACCTGCCCTTGACTTTGAATAACATTTCCCCTGAGAAACCAAATTTCATAAATTAACCCAAGCTCTTAAGCACTGATCCTCACAGGCAGCATATTTTAAAAACAACACAGCCGTCTAGCGGTAGTAGTAGCTGCTGCAAATACTGCTGCACACATTTACTGTCCAATGCTTGGCACTGCTAGAAAATGGTGGTTTTGACATGTTGCCATTTCATTCGGATCTAAATTGAGGCTTTTTGCCTCTGAACCCTGCACACACACTGCATCTGCAAAGCTTATTTGGAAACAACCAGGTCTAAGAGCAAGCAAGTTTCTTAGTGAGCTCTGGAAACACAAACATGATGAATGGAGACAGTCTCTGATTGAAGATGGGTCCCTGGAACGCTTCTAATTCCTCCTGCTTTTCCCTCTGCCCAGCAGCAACAAGAATGAAAAAGAGAACTAACAATTCCTAGGAGACTCGAAGCCACAGGCAGTGCAGAAAACAACAATTAGCTCCTGCTCTTCATGGACCCCTCCACACTCTTCTGCGGTGGAAAGAGCTCTTGCACCTCTCTTCTGCTACCCTCAAAAGTGTGGAATATGGGTGGAATCACCTTTATCTGCCCTAGCTGCTCCTTGCAGTTCTGTGTCAACTGAAGGTTTCCTGGGAAGTGGGTATGCTATAAGCCTTATTCTCCAAGTGAAGGTGAGCAGGGCAGCAGGAAGGGAAGAATAGGCAATACATCAATGTCACTACAGCAGAAACATTGAGGTCATGGCTTTCTGCAACAAGTGAAACAGAAGCAGAGCCTCTGGAAGCTTGCCATCACCATTAAGCAAATAGGGACAGACATCTGCAACTCAGTGAACATGAGTCTCATACCAATTGCTGCATTTTGTTACAAGAGAAGCATGTTTTCCAGAAGCGGTTAATTTCTCCTGTTCAGGACAGGCTCCCAGAAGCTAACTAAGCTGTGCTCACCAAACTGGCTGATCACCTCTCAGTAAGAGAGAAGGTTGTAAACTCTATGGCATCCAACACCACCGCCTACAAAGGATTTCAGTAATAGAGGATTTTTCCCTCAGTATCCTCACTATTATCCATCACAGACCTCTAGCACAGCAGGTGGAAGACAATGAAAGCACTAGGCTTGGGTTTCCTTTCCACAAGGGAAAAAGAGACCCCAACAAGTTAACAACTTACTTGAGGTAGAATACTGCACTTGCTCTGCATGCCACTCCCAGCTGAAGCTTTCAGGATAGTCTAAATGATCTTGGCACTGATGTTACCCATTTCAAGGCTAAAAAGGCCATTTACATTCTTCTGTTCAAGACTTCAGCTATACTTCAAGAACAGCCCTCACCTCAGACTGAGTTTACAGTTTTCCTAATGCCCCAAAAGTACACTAAAAGCAGCTTCTGAGATTATCAATGGTTATCCTTCAAGGTTGTTAATTTGGAGTTCACAGATAATTTTTAGTGCAAATGTTCCCATTGCTAGAGTACTAATTTGTGTTGGTTCACAAAGCGCATCACTTCTCTATCAGGAAAAAATGTACTGGGCCAGCTCAGGTATTTTGTGTGCCTCTTGCATATTCCCTTTGTCAGAAGATAAGGAATAAAAAAGAAACTAGCTTTGTGAATAGAGGGAGCACAGTTTGGATAGACTAATTGCTTTTTCTATAGAAGACATCTTCCTCATCTGGGATAAGGCAGCATTTGGTCCGAACTATGAAACAATATGTAAATCTGGTGTTAGTCTTACAAGACAATAAATAGAAAATCTTTTTTGAGACCAATACTCCATCCTGCTTTCCAGTCATTTATCACTTCACTATATTTTCCTGGTTGTTCACAAATAATTGTCAGTTTATTAACTTGTTAGTCACCTTGGGCTGGGGTACATCAATGCTACTGATCAAATACTGTTGTGGAAGTATCTCTGGTCAGGTCAGGCGGACCGCTGTTGGCATTACTCATTACTTGAAACAAGCATAACAGCTTTGGAAGGACAGGATGAAATCCACTGAAGCAAGCATTTGTTCCTCTAAATGTAATCTCTTACTTGCTTTTTCTTTAATAGCTGTTTTTATGATTCTTAGTTTGCAACTGCCCAAACTCACTGTTGATACCACTTACAGGTTGGGTTTTTTTCAAAGGAGCTTGGGCATTATTATTATTAATGAAACCACCATTAATCTCATCTTCTTTATGTGCTGTAATGATTTAAGCACTTTAGAAAGACCTCGTTTTTACTTTGGCTAATACTACCCCATTTTGCTTTAATGCACTTCCATTCTTCTGCATGCAACAATATTTTTGTGCGTACTTCAGTACAGAGCCTTGAAATGAATATCATTCTTGCCCTTTACATTCTCATTCTTTTTTTCAGAGGAATTACATATTGCCTGTTTGTGGAATACGTTTTAGCATCTCCAGCTCTCCTTGCCTTGTCATGCTTTCTAACTCTTACCCTCACCAGCTCCCTTAACTCCTAACTTGCTTACTTAAAATCTTTCCCCACTGAACAGCCAACCTATTGTTATCAGGACAGATCCGACACACTAACACTTGGCCCTCAGCGTTACTCTGTTTCTCCTAAAAGAAAATCTGGGTCTCCTGAGAACTGATTTATTTCTCCAACACTTTGATCTCAGTGCCTTATTCTCTGCAGCTCGCATTTTTGCAACGTCTATCGGCTCCAATGGACAAGACACCGAGTCTGCATTTTTCAGGGCTGATTAACAGGGGATGGGAGATGGGGGGGGGGGGGGGGCGATTAGAGACCTGCCCCAGGGTCCCTCCTGCTCTCGCCACCCCGGGAGGACACACCGGCGTCCTTGGTGGGCACCTGGGGCAGCCACCCAGTGCGCCCGCCTAGCTTAGGGAACGGCCCCGCCGGTGCCCCGGCCGGAAGGACCCTCCTCACCGCAGACCCCCTGTGCCCGGCGTCCCCTCTCTGTCCCCGCCACAAGCCGCCCCCGGCGGAGGCGACGGCCCGCGCTCTCCTCTCTCCCCTCCACTCCCTGTGGCGGCGGCTCAGTGCGCAGGCACGGAGCGGGAGCGAGCGGCGCTCCGGGCCGTACATAATACGTGGTGTCTGGGGCCGGCGCGGCGCACAACGAAGATGGGATCGGTGAGGGAGAGCCGCAGCTAGCGCCGCTGCGGTTGCTCAGCCGGCTGAGGGGAGCGACGGGAGGGACAGGTAACCCCGGCCCGCGGCGCCGGGCCTTTCCGCAAACTTCGGCTGCTCAGTTTGGCGGCGGGAAGGGGGGATCCTCACGGGAGGCTTACGGCACCGAGCTCCCCGTGGGGAAAGTGGCGGTGGGGCATCGGCCGCCCGGCGGAAGGAATGGGGAGCTGTGTGCACGGCGAGACCTGCGGGTTTCGTCCCCGGTCCGGGTGAGGGAGCATCCCGGGGGGGAGGCTGCTGCCGCCGGGGGCGAGGCTGCTGCCGCCGGGGGCGGATGCGCGCAGCGCTGCGCTAGGGGGCGCCGCGACCGGGCCGGCCTCTCTGCCCTCGGGGCCCCGGTCGCGGCGGCGGGCTGGAGGGTAAAGGGTGCTGGTGGGTAGCGGGGACCGGGGTACCCGCTGAAGTGCGGGCGCTGCGAGGTTCTTCCGCCTCACCCGGGAAACGGTTGATGGAGAGCGTGTCCCGCCCGGCCGGCGCAGCGTCCTGCGCTCCGGTCTGCGCGGCCTTTGGCGACGGCCGCTGCCCTCTCACCCCCTTTTCGGCCTTGTCCCCGCACAGGGGAGGCCCCGCTGGCTCCCCCGTGCACGGCAGCGGCGCAGGAGTCGCCCCGGAAGGCAGCCGGGCAGCCCCGGCGCCCTCGGGGAGCAGCGGCAGCAGCTCGTCCCTCTCCCCCAGCCCCGGCGAGGCCGGAGCCGCAGGCACAAGAAGGCTCGCTTCGGCCGTGATGGACGCAGCTCAGCCTGAGCACGCCCTGGCCCAGCGTTTGGCCTGGGGAGGTTCTGGAGGCTGGTGTGACAGGGGTCTGAGGTATCAAAAGGGCCATCTCGGAGGCTGCGGTCAAAGGGAGGTTATTTATTCCAGTGTTCAGTCTTCCAGGGAACTTGCTTTTGGTAGGAAACACGGCCCTCACAGAAGGGTCCAAGTGTGTAAATCTGGAGAGGGGCACTTCACCTATGCAAACCCATCAGCGTCTGTGGCTTACATCTAGTGCTGTGTGTTGCAGAGCAAAGGCACATCCTCGTTTGCTTCGTCCTGCCTTTCAGATGTCAATTTCTTACATAGGTTTTAGGGCTTTTTAAAATGTGTCCAACCCTGCAATAAGAAAGCAAAGTAGTTGGGAAATGTATTGAGTGTTTTTTCTTAGAGCTTGCTCATCTTTTAATCTGCCTGATCACAAACCCAGTCACATCTCCCCAGATCAGTGGAGAATAGTAAAGCTCAAAGTAAACAGGACAAGCTTTTGCCATGGAAACAAAAGTTGCTAGGGGATGGATTGCTACTATGCAGTGGTGTGCTTTGAAGCTGTGATCATACATCCCACATGTTCCTAGGCACCTCGGGTTTAGGCACAGAAGAACTTTTAATGATTAAACCACTGGATGTGTGTTCTGATCTTGTGCGTTACATGGATTGGATAACTGTGACTCTCTGTTTAGCAAGTTGTCCAACATTTCAGCATTTAATTTCACAGCCATAAAGGTGAGACATGCAAATATAAATCAAACTTAAGAGATCGTAGTTACTGCAGTATTTATTCATCTGATGTAAGTTGATGGCTGTGACACGTGTTTCCTTCTTATTTATGGAGAACTGTTTACTCCCACCATAGTCTGACTGTGTCAGTTCCTCTGCCCCATCTGTAAGTAGCAAGAACACCAACATTATGTTTGCATTGCAGCTGAGAAGAGAGACCATCTTAGGCCAAATTACCAGGCTGCTTCTATGAGTCATATAGGGCTGGGAAGCTTTCTTCCCTTCTCTCTAGTGGACAAGATATTTTGCAAAAGATGGGAAATCACTTATAAGTGGAAGAGTCTGAGCATAAGGAAAATGTTCAGTAGGACTAATATACAATACTTGAGAAGAATTAGTGATCTTGGCAGGGCTCTTTTTTCCTTCCATTTTAGAAGGTCATACTATTTGATGCTGTCAAAAATCTTACACGCAAAAGGTCATTATTTTGGTTTTTATTCCATATCTCAGCTCTTATTTATCATTTTTCTCATATGCCTGACCAAATCCACCTATTAGCGTTTCAGATTGCTAAAGAATCTAGCTGTAATATAAGTGATTCCAGGCTTTTTTGGTTCCTATAGACAATTCTTCGTCAAACTGTTAGTAACAAAACACTCTTCTTTCTCTTGACTAAACCTACAGACAGTGCAGTGAATGCCAGATCATATTTATACAGTTTTCTGTCACATCACATCGAGGGGTTTTCAAATTGATTGCAATAACTACAGTTGCAATGTGCCTTATCTGATTTCTGAATTAACTAGAGAAGCTCTAAAATTATCTTCTGGTGGCAGCTGGCATAATGCAAGTGAGCTTCGACAGGCCACACTATCTGGTCATGTTATGTTGGTCCTCCCCTTTTTTTACCTTAGGGGAAAAAAAACTTCCTTTCTGCTCAAACAGACTCCAAAAGTAGAATTACTTTAAGTGTTTCCACACAAGACTTTAGGTTACATACTTATATCCATACCACTTCTTTTTTTAGTTTTGTACCTCAAAACATACCCATCAAGATTACTCATTCGTGAAGGGCAAAGGCCTGCAGGGCTGTGAAATTTGGAGGCCTTAGCTGCTGTGAGCACGTCAGACCTTCCTTCCTTCCCTTTAAGTAAAATTGCTGTGGCAATCAGATGAGCTGCTTAAAGCTGATATAATTTGAGCTGTGACATTCAGATGCAAGTACTGATTAACAGTGCCCTTTGGACTAAGACTTTCTGAACTTCTTCAAAGACAAATCAGTCAATTTAAGTAACATGGACCTGTTGCTCAAGTTTTTAGGGGCTAGTATTACTTTAATGAATTCCATAGCATCACACCTTTGAAGCAAGTTCACACCTGGGACCTGCGTAGTTAAATATAAATTTTGTGTGTTATGAGAACTTCCATGAAGTGGAAAGAGTGGGGAACATTGTTGGCAGTTTTCATAGCAGACAAAATTGTGATTTTATTAAAGTCAGCAGGAGTTGGGCATTGACTTCTCTAAGGGAGCAGCGGTGTGCCACAGGTTTAATATTTTAATTTCACTCCCTTCAGTGAGCAGGTTGGTGCTGTTATGGCATTCCATCTTTTTCATTTTTAATTATCCATATTTAAGTACAAGATATATACAGTTTCAGTCTGTCTGGGAGTTGTTTTGCCTCTGTTTCTCATGGCTATGAATGTTCTATCAGCATTTAGTCCTGCATTTCAAAAGCTTGGTAAAAAAAATATTGCAAAATCTTACCCAGTTCCTAGTTCTTCAGGTTGCAAACCCTAGCAAACTCATAGAAGCAGTCCGCATGAGAAGCAACGTGATCCCTTTGGGGTTGCTGGATTTTATTAGAATCGTAGAATAGTCAAGGTTGGAAAGGACCTTAAGATCGTCAAGTTCCAACCCCTCTGCCATAGGCAGGGACACCTCACACTAAACCATGTCACCCAGGGCTCTGTCCAACCTGGCGTTGAACACCGCCAGGGATGGAGCATTCACAACGTCCTTGTGAAACCCATTCCAGTGCCTCACCACCCTAACAGTAAAGAACTTCTTCCATATATCCAATCTGAACTTCCCCTGTTTAACTTTTAACCCATTACCCCTTGTCCTATCACTACAGTCCCTAATGAAAGAATCCCTCCCCAGCATCCCTATATGCCCCCTTCAGATGCTGGAAGGCTGCTATGAGGTCTCCACGCAGCCTTCTCTTCTCCAGGCTGAACAGCCCCAACTTTCTCAGCCTGTCTTCATACGGGAGGTGCTCCAGTCCCCTGATCATCCTCATGGCCCTCCTCTGGACTTGTTCCAACAGTTCCATGTCCTTTTTATGTTGAGGACACTAGAAGTGCACCCAATACTCCAGGTGAGGTCTCACGATAGCAGAGTAAAAGGGCAGGATCACCTCCTTTGACCTGCTGGTCATGCTCCTTTTGATGCAGCCCAGGATACAGTTGGCTTTCAGGGCTGCGAACACACACTGAAGCCGGCTCATGTTCATTTTCTCATTGACCAAGAGAACACCCCCAAGTCCTTCTCTGCAGGGCTGCGCTGAATCTCTTCTCTGCCTGGCCTGTAGCTGTGCCTGGGATTGCTCTGTAGGACCTTACTTGATATATTCTGCTTTTCTCGGTCTGCACGGAAATGTAGTAGCATGCTGGTACAAAAGATGGGGAGTGGGCACCCTGCATATGGGAGGCAGTGTTCCCTTCAGCACCTTCAGGCTGTGCTGTGCCAAGACACTGAGTGCCTTGGGTTCTCTTAAGCTGTATCACTACATGCAACTTTACCAGGCCCATTTTTTTGTTTGGAAAAACATTAAGGAAATGTCTCTCCTGGGATGCTTTTCTTTGTGTCAGCTGGAGAGTTTCTAGTTTTTCTTTCCTGCCACATCACTATTAATCTGTTTTGCATGAAACATCTCATTGCAGGTAGGAAGGATGAGCTCCTATGCTGACATCTGTGGGTCCAAGCATGCGCAGGGCAGCACTGAGGGAGGGTACCAACGATATGGAGTTCGGTCCTACCTGCATCAGTTCTATGAGGACTGCACGGCTTCGATTTGGGAGTATGAGGATGATTTTCAGATCCAGAGATCGCCTAGCAGGTGGAGCTCTATGTTCTGGAAGGTACTGAATGTTGCTGTTTACTGGCATTAGAAACTCACATTTCAGTATTTTCTCATGTAACTCATGAGTTAAGTTACATGGAAAAGTAACTAAGGCCTTCTGTTGCTCAGTTTTCTCTGAGATGATTGAGTTACAATCTCTCTGAAAGCAGGGCGCTCTTACCAAGGTGAGTCAATTTCCAAGGGAGTTCTAAGGTCTTTGGATCCTCTAATTTCTGTGTCACAAGGAGCCATATTACTGAAACATCACAGTGTTGCCTGGGAAACTCCACACATAGCTTGAAAGTGTAGTTTACCTTTGCTCTGCACCCACAATAGTCTTGCCAAACTATTGGGAGTAGGACTGGTAGGTTAACAGCAGTAACTCTAGGACTGCTTGACTTGGGGATCAAGAAAACTGCAGGGTCTCTGTTAAGGTCAGGGAACTTGACAGAACTGGAGAACATCAGAGGCTGGAAGGGGCCCATGAGGCCATCTAATTCAACCCCTCTGCTCTGATGGTAGGGGCATTCTGTGCAAACAAGATTTTGCACTTACACTTGAATTGTGCTAGAAATAGTCTATGATCTATTCATAGCAATAGCAACTTCCTTCTAATCTCTGCGAAGGAATTTCATGGTGTAAAAGCAAGTGGTGAATATGACACTATATGACTATCAGCAAGGATTGAAATGTTGGTCCTAACCACCACCTAAAGCTAAAGAAATAAATCTGTCACACAGCACCGGGCTTAAACTGTGATCCTGTCTCTGATAGGGCCTTTGGACGTGAAATGCTCTTTGGATGTATAAATGCATGTTCCATTGTTTCCAGAAATGTAAATGCTGAATTAAAGTTGTAATAAGACAGTTTCTCCGTATATTCTAGTCTTGGTAGTGTCACATAATGACCTGAAAGAAAAATATCATCCTTCTCCTAGAAGAGAAAACTCTACCTGCAAGACACTGTGAAAGCTAGATGCCCTCTAGGACCACTTACCCATAAAAAACTGGAAATGCATATTAATTTGTTTTGTTTCTTTGTTTTCCAGGTCGGACTCATCTCTGGGACGGCTTTTATGCTCATAGGTTTAACGGTTCTTGTGGTGGGTTTTCTTGTGCCACCAAAAATTGAAGCTCTTGGGAAAGATGATTTTGTTGTGGTAGATACCCGTGCCATTCAGTTTAATGGGTCCCTTGATATATGCAAGCTGGCAGGAGCAATCGTGTTTTGCATTGGAGGGTCCAGCGTGGCAGTGTGTCTGCTGATGTCTGCTTTTGCTAAAAGTTACTCCAAAGAAGAAAAGTACCTCCAGCAGAGATTCAAAGAGAGAATAGCTGATATAAAAGCCCATGCAAACCCAGTCACAAAAGCTCCAGCACCGGGCGAATCAAAGATACCTGTCACTTTGTCCAAAGTTCAAAATGTCCAACCTCTATCTGAAACCTGACCCTTCCCTTAGGTTTTGTTTCTCACCTGTAGGTCACTTCAACTGGAAAATAT